CTAAGACTAGGTGAGTCATCATATACCCTATCCTCTCGGCCCATCGATTGGTCCAGAGATGAGTACATGACCCAAGCAAGGCCTAGAATGGGCAAGCATAGCCAGACAGAACTTCCTCTGAGATTTAAATATAAATGGTGGAAGAGAAATGCTTTTTTACCCTGGGGTTGATAAGCTGGGAATTAGTGAATCCTGGGGTACTGACATTCATTTCACCCAAGCTATATGTAATAAGTCCTATCTTCAACACGAGGGAATGAGGCCAATACACAAAGGCAAGCAGACCCATACGCTGGAGAGGTGACATCATTTGAGTTCTCTGATCCAAGTCTGCCAAAGCCTGATATCTCAGTTATGAGATCCAATAAGTTCCCTTTCGCTTAAATTGGTTTTTGTTGAATATCGTTCTCTTGCATTTAAAATCCCTGACTACAATGTGTATAAAAGGCATGTTACCTTTAAAATCTGTTCTCAAATATTGTTTACTATTCAATAAAGATTAACTTATGATGCAAAATGGAGAGAAAGTATGTCTGTTTCTACCTTAAACACACATTTTTGAAGTCTGGATCGCCTCCTTTGAAAATCTCCCCCTGAGCAAGCTCTCCTTCCCATGCTCCCTGCCCCCCTACTGCCTGCTCAGTGCCTCCCTCTTCATGACAGAATACCTGGCTTCCATCGAACACAAGACTGACCACATGGCATTGAAATCCTTTGTTTCTAGGACAACCTTCCCATAAAATGACAATTTGCTTGAGGACAAGGGACTGTATCATATCTTCATATCTCCAGCACTTACCTCACTGCTGGGTATACAGTAATGATTATATTAAACTTAGTGTTATAAATATGTACACACAACTTTTTATCACCACCTCGTGGTAGAGGGTCTAAATTACTCTTCAATTTCCTAAATTACTCTTCAAAAAGTAATCACAACTTTTTATCACCACCTCATGGCAGAGGGTCTAAATTACTCTTCAATTTCCTCTGGAATATGTTAATCACAACTTTTTATCACCACCTCATGGCAGAGGGTCTAAATTACTCTTCAATTTCCTCTGGAATATCCTCTGTTAATCAAATTAAAAAAAAAAAAAAGTGGAAACTACAAAACCAAAGTAATAAATGATAGCACAATTACTGTTCAGCTGACTCAATTAGAATAAAATTCTCAAAAATGAGAAGTGCTAAAATATTTCTAAAGCAAAATCACTCCCCAAATAGCAGACCAATGTCTTTAATTTTAAGTAAATCTCAACAAAGATCAAATCATAGAAATCTACATTGGTAGATAAAGCTTGATTTATAATTGTGAAATTCATATTATATCAAAGGATTTTTTATTTTTTTAAATTCTGGTTCATTTTTGGATAAAAATGGTTGGAGGTCGGTTTCTCTACTTGAGATGAGAAGCAAGGTCAGGTGCAATCACAGGGCCTAAGCAACCAATGGTTCCAATTGGCTGCATTTCAGTATCAAAAACAAGAGACCTGGGTAGTAGCAGCCTATGGCCTTCTCAGCTTGCCTCCCCTGGCATGGAATCTTCACCCTATGAGTTAGATGGGATGAGAATGATCAGGGCCCCATTATTCTCTGACTGCCATGCTTGGGGTAGAGCCTCCAACCTATGAGTGGGGGCTGGATGGAGGAGGGAAACACCCATCCCAGGGGCTGCACTCACCAGGAACTCAGCCTCTGTAACTTCCAGTTGGAGGAGATCAGGAACGTCATCGGCCTCTCCTTCCTGGTTACATACTGTGTCCCTTGATTGGAAACTAACAGGAATGGGGGCTCTGCCCTTTTGGCCACACCTATCTTGAGTGGAGCCTCCATCAAGCTCAGCTAGCAGGGAGAGAGAGGAAGGGAGAGGTTATGGTTTGAGCGCCACAGATTCTCACTGTTCTTACATATTTAACAGATTTTGCTGAATATTTCATTTCCTGTATGCTCTTAGGACAATTAAAGTCCAGAGACTTTAAATTTTAAATGATTGTGTGTGTGTGTGTGTGTGTGTGTATGTGTGTGTGTGTTTTAATCATTTTTACTAGTTATGGTTGTTTCACTGGAGAATGGGTCTGCAGATCTCTTCACACCTTCCCAGAAGTTTCAGTCCCTTTTAAAGAATACAATTCCATAAGCTAACATTATAACCGCTGGTTTTCATTGCCATTACTGTCGACTTCTATTTTTAAGTTGTAATAATTCCTAGTAAAGTAGAGAGATGTAATTTTATTCTGATCAAGTTGACTTGACCCCTCTCAAGTAAACAAAATTACATGCAAAGCTGAAAACAGAAATGGGGACAGGGAACCAAGCGGGAACAACATTTTATAATTTGCCAAGTTCAGAGTACATACACTTTTTTTCTTTTTAGTTTTAAAAGACAAATACCGACACGTAAAGTGAATTTATATTTTACAAAGGCTACCAAGCTGAACCCCTTCCTCCAAGTTTTCATTCTGACCTGACCATATTTGAATGCGGGTAAGTAACCAAATCCACATTTGAATTTTTGCATCTACTACATTAAGACCTTGTTTCCAACATGACTTCATTAGCTGGAACCATTTTTAGTAGGGAACATATAAATTAATAAAAATAATTAATAGTTATTGTTATACAAATTAACTTTTATTGAGTATATATGCCAGGCTCTTTGAAAACTGTATTAAATGTACTATTTCACTTAATTCTAACAACATTACTATGAGGCAATTTAAATTTTTATTATCTCCGTCTTATAGATGAAGCAACTAGGTACAGAGAGGTTAAGTTACTTGCCTCATGTACATAGCCCATCAGTCAGTGGTGGAGGATGGATATGAAGCCAGATAGATTAGTTTCTAGAACTTCCATTGGTCCTTTGTGCTATACTGATACTTAAAAAGTTTTTGGCTTCATTGCCAAAAATATGTACAGTAGCCTCCTAAGAGTGGTACTTCGGAAATTTTCTTTAAGAGAATTGTTCATTCACTCATTCAACAAACTTACTAAGCAAATACTATGATCAGAAAGACGAACTGTTTGATTAAGCATGGAAACTAGTAAATACTAATCTTGTAGGATAAAAGTTGACTCCTCATATGAATGGAAAATACCTCATGAGAATCAAAATCAGAGAGTCACATTGTTAAGCACTAAAATGGAACTGTTATTATGTGAAAAATTTTAACATTTTAATGAGCACATACTGCAAGCTGGGCACCATGCTAAGCTCAAATGCTTTATATAGGTAATTTCATATCATGCCTCCAAAAATCACCAGGTAAGTGGTTAAGAGCTGAGGCTCTAAGTCAGCCTTGTGGGGTGTGAATTCCAGTTCCAACAGTGACTAGCTGTGTAAGTCAGACAAATTATTTAAAATCTCTGGGCCTCAGTTTACTCATCTGAAGATTAGATATAACAATGGCAATTCCTGTAAGTTAAAAATATATTCAACAGCAAGTAAAGGAATATCTGACTATAGTGGCTTTAAAATAAGAGTTCATTCTTCTACATAAGTGAAAGTCTGGCAAATGTTAGTTTAGCATTTCAGTGATGTCATGGCTGTGATTCTTTCAGGAGTACAAGATAGCTGCTGCAGCCCCAGAAATGATGTCAATGTTTAGGGTAGAAAGAGCAGAAGAGGGTGCCGGCCACAGGGGTCCTCCTGATCAGGAAAGCTAAGGCGCAATCCATGCAGATTTCTATGTATGTCCCCATGACCAGAACTCTGTCATATATGGCCACTTGAACTGCAAGTGAAGCTTGAGAAGCAAATATGTAGGAGGCACATTTTCACACACACACAATCAGGGCTCTATAAGCAAGGGAGAGGAGAATGAGGATCACAGGGTGAGCACCTCAGCAGTGCCTAGCACACTACTTCATGGGGCTGGGAGAACAGAGAGAATTCAAGCTAAGCATCTGGCACAGTCTGGGTCCTCATTCGGGGCCAACAGATGTTAGTTGTTTTATTTTGTAAATGAAAATGTTCAAGAGCTTACCTCGAATCACACAGCTTCTATATAAGAGATGAGATTCAAAGGCAGCCTTGCGGACTCCAAAGCCTAAGCAGTCACAATGTAAAGAGTGATGAGAACAATTGAGTAGAGGCTTCTAAGGGTGCCATTGCTCCTGAATCACTTTTTGTACTCTGCTTAAGAGTCACACTTTTATTTTTCTTCATAGATATGCTAAGGATGCCTCAGCTGGATCCCCTGCAGGAATTAGTGGAAAAAGATGTAAAAAAGTAGCCAGCTCTTGCTTAAGTCTTCTGAATTAACACCAGGCAACCACCTAAGATACAGCAGAAGGACATCTGTATTTAACACATACACATACAAAACTGTATTTAATAAAAAAATAGCCATGAAGCTCTATTGTTTGATTAAGCATGGAAACCAAATACTGACCTCTTAGAAAAATAGTTGGCTCTTCTCCGAATGGAAAACAACTGGACGAGAATCAAAACCTGATGTGTGAAGTGTCCCCTCAAAGTAAGATACTCAAAAGATGTTAGAAGCTTTCACCAGGAAAACAGACATCTCTATTTTTCAATTTAAAAAATGTACCATTACTAATTAAAACCACAATATTTAAAAAATGATGTCTCCCCCACCGCATGAAAGGGTTTGGTTTCATATTTGCAAGGTGTAATGAACATGTGAGGTCTGGTGACCTCATCTATAATAACTCCATGCATATAATTACTGTGCACAGAGGTGTCTGGAGAGCAGATTTTTAATCAAGGCCAGGACAAGCCTGTATTACATTAATAGAAAATGTAGAACACATGGTTCCAATTCCATTTGCTCAACCATAAAATGAGCAGAGTATTACTGACTTAACTTCCTCCCATAGAGTGGGAGGGCAGAAGATGAGTTCCATAAGACACAAGCTATGTTTACAAAGCACTTATGGCAGTGGTTGCTAGACTTGGGGAATTATCAAGGATTATCAACTTTGACCTTGCCAAGTAGTAACAGTAAAATAACATAACAACAATCAACCAACCAACCTGACCACTGTCATCATCACTTCATAAAAGGACTTTTAACACCAAGCAACTAGGATGGACATACTTATTCTCAAAGTAAAAAAGCAATACTGTAAATGGAATGAGTTTTACTAAATTTCACTCCTCATCTTAATTTTTCTCATTTGAAATGCATGGATTAACATTTAGGAATTACAGGGTCAGTCCTGGCATTGTTCTCTTAGTCCCAGATAGTCTTTCTGGACACCGGATTTCAAGGACTAGAGGGCACTGCTATAGCATTACAGGCAGGGCCCAAAAGTTTCAGGATGCATGCAATTAAAAATCTTCACTAGAAACTTTCAGAGCACATCTGTAATTGGAGATGCTTCTCCCACACTCTCCTTTGGCCTGCCTTAAAGTATTTCAATAGTTTTAGACTCCAGGTTCAAGATCCTATTATTGCTACTTACATAGTCATTTTAAGTCATAATTAGAACCTAGACACAATGAAGGCAGGGGTCTTAAATTCCCCATGGGACCTTGCACTCAGCAGGTATCAAGTGATACCTACTGATTTGGTATGAGCTTGATGATTGCGGAGTCTATAAAAGTTCTAAAAGCCAAGAACAGCAGCTAATGAAAATCATTGTGAGCTGATCTTGGGAAGAAGATGGGTCTGTCCAAAGAGGTAAGAAAATATTTTACTGTCAATTGAAAATTTTCATATTTACTTATCTAACATAATCTTATGTACATGCTCTGAGCATATGTACATGGTCCGAGGCTAAAACATAAGATTTTTTAAAGAAAATTCACAACCACTCAAGGCTGTCTCTATTTAAAAACTGAAATAAGGACTTTATAATCTAGATTTTCTTATGCGACATGTGACCTTCTCTACGTATTTACGGTATAGTGGTTAACAGAATAGTCACAGGAGTTTGGCAGCTGGCAAGAAACTGTAAGACAGTCTTACATAGTCTTCTCATTTTTCAAGGAAATTAGCGCTAGCAAGGTCGGATGATTTTTTTCAAAGCCACAACACTAGACGCCTGTGAATTTGGGACACAGAACGCAGGTTTCCTGTTTTCCAAAACCATGATCTCTCTACAATATTGTTTACTCTCTGGCTGATAACATCATCTGCTTTTATGCTCACTTCAATAAAATCTGAGCCCGTGTTAAGTGGCAACAGGGACTTGCAGTGGCACTAGATGGTTAAAGCGAGAAAAAGCATCATAAACAGGATAATGAGATGACCTCCGCCCTCACTCAGTGACTCATGATTGAACGGGAAGGGAAGGACTTCACACGCCCAAGTAACATGTTTTTGGGGTAAAAGTTTATCTTGAGACACAATATATTTTTTTTTCTTAATTTTTCGACTCACCCAGTTGGCTGAGTCCTTTCCTCTTTCCTATGTTTATAATATCTAACATGCATGTTAACACAGAATATCTGGCATAGGTAACTAGATATCCCTATTGAAAAAGCAAAGCCCTCGAGAGCCTGCTTCTTGATGTTTGAGAGTAGGAAAATGAAATAATTTATGTAATTCTCCTTTGTACAAAACTCTGCACACCAGTCTATACACTGGCATGCAAACTTGTAACTATCATACCAATCAAAATAAGAATGTCACTTAAGTGAATGCACATCAGTGTTACTCTAATCAATGTTCCAAATACCATTATAGTAAAAGTACCGAAGAACACAATAGTACCTAATAAACTATGTGAGCACTATATGAGGTATACACAAAAAATGTGAAAGCACCAGTTCTCAGTGGTGCAGTCTTTGAGGACGGGGCTGTCTTACCGACTATATTATCATAGTAAATAGTTTAGATTATAGAAATGATCAAAATATACTCATAGCTTAGAGGGATTGCAATTCTATTAGTTAATATCCTTCTTAGCAAGAATTCCCATACACCCTTCACCCAATTTCCCCTATTGTTAACATGTTACATTACCGGAGTACATTTGTCAAATCTAAGAAACCAACCATTGGTACATTAACTCCATAATGAATTTGAATTTCACTAGTTTTTTCACTAACATCATTTTTCCGTTGCAGGATCCAATCCAGGAAAGCTCATTGCATCGCTGTCATGTCTCCTTAGTCTCTGGTCTGTGACAGTCTCTCAGTCATTCCCTGTTTTGCATAAATTTAATAGTTTTGAGGAGTATTTTGTAGCATCTCTCAGTTTGGGTTTGTCTGATGTTTTTTTCTCATGATCAGACTCAGTAGACTGGGATTGTGGGTTTTTATGCCCACAGAGAAGCATAATCAGAGAGGTGTCCTCATCACATCACATTGAAGACATGATAATAACATGACTTCTCACTGGTGATGTTTACCATGATCACTTACTTAAGGTAGTGTCTTTCTTAACTGTAAAGTTACTGTTTTCCCCTTTCCATACTCTATTCTTTGGAAGTGAGTCATTAAGTCTAGCCCACACTCAAAAGTGGGGGTGCCAGAGGTCAAGAGCTTTCAAAGACAGTTCCGCTTGGGCTGAAGCCCATTTGATATGAAGAGATTTCACTTACAGTAAAAAGTTGGAAACAGAAGCAATGGGCTAAAAGAGAACAGGAAAACTAAGCTTTCCAGCTATTTATCCGAAAAGGATTTCAATGTAAGGATACTTTGATCAAAATGTCTTTTTAAGGAGTTTACGAGACTTGGTTAATGAAGTAGCTTCTCCACGCTCTCCTTAAGAATCATCTAGAAGAAATGAAACAAGAAACAAAAATCGCAAACTTCAAATTCTAAGAAATTATTAGAAATTTCAAATGCAAACCCGCAACACACGAAGGGTTGCCAAACGCAGAGAACGCAGGGGTACAGGAAGATGCTGAGAGAGGATATCTATTCCTGCAGCTCACATTCAAACTCAGCAAGAGAGAGAAGTCAGACAAAAGAAGAAATCAGAATATATGATTTCACTTATATGCGGAATCTAAGTAATAAAGAGAACAAACTAATCAAAAACAGACTCACAAATATAGTGGACAATTTGGTGATGGACAGAGGGGATGAGGGGTTGGGGGCTGGGAGAATAGGGTGAATGGTTAAAGTACAAATTAGTAGCTGATGGATGGATGGTCACGGGGATGGGGAGCATGGCATAGGGAATGCAGTTAGCATTAATACGTTGGCTCGGTGGAGAGTCGGGAGGGAGGGAGCAATCGGGGGATCATTTCATGAACTATACAGATGTCTAACCAATGTACTGTATACTTTAAACTAAAATAAATAAATTAAAAATCTAAAATAATTAGAAATGTATAAACATTAGAAAAGAGGTAATAAAATTACCATCATTTATAGATGTGATTATTTTCAAGTAAAACCCAAGAAATGCATTTAAAAAGTTGCAAGTAAGAATTTAGTAATGAAGCTGAGATGGTTAATTTTATCTATCAATCTGACCGGGCCATGGGATGTGCAGACAGACAGCTGGTTAAACATTATTTCTGGGAGCGTCTGTGAAGGTGTTTCAGGAGGATGTTAGCGTTTGGATTGGTGGACAAAGCAAAGCAGATGCCCCGCCCCCTCCCCAATTGGATGATGGGTGAGCATCATCCAATCTGTTGAAGGCCCGAGTAGGACAAAAAGATTGAGGAAGGTTAAATTCCCTCTCTACCTGACTGTATGAGAGCTGGGACATCGATCTTCTTCTGCCTATGCAGTCTTAGTCTTCAGGCCTTCAGAACCGGACTGCAGTCTATGCCGTGGGCTCTTGCTCTCAGGCCTTTGGACTACACACCACTAGCTTTCCTTCCTGGGTTTCTGGCTTGCAGACAGCAGATTGCAGAACTTCTCAGCCTCCATAATCACGTGAGTTAATATTTTATAACAAATGTGTGTGCAGGTGTGTGCATGCTGTTTTTCTGGAGAACCCTGATTAATGCAGTAGCTAAAGCACAAAATCAGCAAAAAGCAATATACATAACCATATATAAATACACCATTTTTCAATACCAAAAGCAAAATAAATAAACTACCTTATAATGTAGTTAAAAAGAAATATTATATTAATAGATAAAAATATTGTTATCCCTAATAAGAATAATCAACATCGATATCAATTCTAAGTTAACTTTCAACACACGACCAACACCAACTACAAAAACAATTTCAAGGCTAGAAAGACTGATTCCAAAATTTATGTAGAAAAATAAACCCACAAAAAGGCAAAATTATAGGGATGAAAAATTGATCCGTGGAGGCCAGGGGGTGGGGGTAGGGGAGCTGACTACAAAGGGGTGGCACGAGGGAATTTGAAAGTGATGGGTCTGAGGTGGTTGGATACGCAAGTCCAAGCATTTGTCAAAACCGATAGAAACATACTTCACAAAGAATATGACTGTATATAAATTAATAAGTCGACCAGAAAAAGAAAATGACCCATAAGAGCCAAAAAATTCTGAAGAAGAAATAAGCGGAGGCTAGCTCTACTATACATAGTGGTACAGTAATCTAAACAGTGTGGTACTGGCAGGTGAACAGACTGATCCATGAAACTAGCTACAAGGCCCAGAAATGGACCCAAATATATAAGGGAATTTAATATATGGCACTTGAAATCTAGAGAGAAAAGATAGAGTTTTAAATCCCTGGTGTTGGGTAGCATTCTGGAAGAAAGGAAAAGTGGGATCCCTATCTCCTGCCTTCTATCAGAATAAATTCCAGATGAATTCTAGTTGAATAAAGGCTATAAAACCTGAAACTTGAAACTTTAAAACCAATAGAAAAATTGGGAGAATTCTTTTATAATCATGGACTAAGGAAGACCTTTGTTACTATGATACAAAATGTGGTCGTCATAAAAGATAAAGTATACAAAAATAAAAAGCAATTTCTATAATTATCATATTAGCAAATATAAATACTACATGGATATATGTACAGACTAGCTCTGGAAAGGTACATTTAATACTGGCAACAGGGACTGCCTCTAGGGAAGGAGACTGGGGAGGCTTACACTAGAACTATGTATTGTTTCTGTGTAATTACCTATTTCGAAGATGTGAATAATTTTTTGCATTGTCTGCTCCTAAACATCAGCTTAAATAGCTGAAAGCTCACCATAAGAGGTTCCTCTTAAGAAACATCCAGTACTAATACGCAACTTAGAAATAACATACACAATATACAGTTCCTAAACACTGTTTGATATGCAAGAGGTGCTCTTCCAACAACACTGATAATCATTTTGAAATGTATCATTACTATTTTAGTTGGGAATTCTACATGTGGTATCACTGCACACTGTAATATAAAACATTCCATTTTTCCAAAATAATTTCAATTGGCCAACAATTAATTGGAATCTTTAAATAACTGCCATTTAGGCCCTTCGATGTCTCATCACATCCCCTATGCACTTGCAAGCTGGCCCAGCTCCACCGCTTTACAATTACTCTGTACTTTTGAAAACACTGTATCGTCTGCTGAGAGAACTTTACCCGCCTCTGCCTACTGAAATCATTCTTCCTAGAAGGACCAGATCAAATACCACTATCCACAAAGCTCTCCAGAAATTTTGTGAATAGATATTACATAGATGCAGAGATAGAAAGGTAACAAAAGATATAAAAAGACACAAAGGCAGAATGATCAATTTAAAAAGTGATTTATTAAACAAGTTAAATGCAAATAAAAGTATATTTAAAAGTCTAACATTATTGGATCCTTTTGAAATACCAATTCTGGGAAGAAGTATCTTCCAAACTTCCTAATGATAAGGAAAATGATAAAAACACAACAGGTATGAAAAACATTTTTAAACAAACAATAAAGCACACAGTAAATCAGAAATAAAAACAATAACAAACATACAAACTATTGAAGTATGACACCAAAATGTTTCATGTTTTTAAATGCTATGGTATACTCACATGAGGGCCAAACTGTCTATGTTCAAGTTAATAAATAGTATGTAAACACCTTTTTAAGGTACCATAATTTGTGTTATATAGAAATAATTTTAGAATGTGTTGGCTGTGTAAATTGTCCACATTTAGCATATGAACATATTAACTTATACTTAATGAAAAAAACCTTATAATCTAAACATCTTGATTTGAGAACTGTGGATTTGATAGTTCTATTAAATTCCAACGTCGTCATCGCTGAATGCATTACCAAAAGTTATTTGATTTTTTAAAAAAGCTTCTTCCAAAAATTTCAGTATTTTAGGGCAAAAGAAAATATGTATTCTTGTTTACAAATTCTAAAATTCTAATGCTTAGTTTCTATGTTTAATACAAAAAAAAATGCACTAGAGAGACAATTCCTATAGAAAAGGCTCTGTCATTTTCAGTAGTTCCAAATGGCGTTATACAATATGTCACTGGAAATAGTAGTAGCTTCTGTTTAAAACAATTTGGCAGTAGCTTCTGTTTAAAACGTAACTTTGCCTGATAACATCCATCAAAGGCTTTAAAACATAATTGACCTTGGCAGTACACACGGAGACCATGATGTGACTGGGGACTGCCAGTGGGCTGGAGAGTCTTTATGAACAGAGGTTTGGGGGGGTGGGGGTGTGTGTGGGTGGGTGTGTGTGTGTGTGTGTAAGAGAGAAAGAGAGAGAGTTATAAGGAGAAAGTGGGATGAAATGGTTCATTTAGAGCTATAAAATATATTTTCCTAATTACATCTCAATTGTATAAATAACGTAAATCAAATGTTTAGAACTTAAATGGATTCTGAATTTCTGAGAGGCAACTTGTTTCCCCCTTTCATCACTCTCTACAGAGGACACAGCTTTCCTGACATACTTCCTCTGGACGCTGAGGGAACGGGCTGCTCAGCCCTCAGTCTGAGAGAGAAGGAGAACGCACAGACCTGCCGCTGGCGGGGCTGGAGAAAGCAAAAGGCTCCTTGTCCTTTTCTTTACCGTCGTGCTTGTGCTTGTGCTTATGCTTATGTTTGTGCTTCTTCTTCTTCTTCTTGTGCTCATGGTGGTGGTGGTGATGGTGGTCACTGTGTTTGGAGGACGTAGATTCCTTAGAAAACAGTGAGAGTGGAGTTGTCGCAACTTGATGCATACTCATCTCCAAAGGCGATTGTTCTTTACCTTCAAGATTAAAAACACCCAAATGAATTCCTATTGATAACAAGGAAAGTGAGATGAAAGTAAGAGGGAGCTGATGACAGTATAGAAAAGAGAGATTCCTAACTGTTTATCAATCCCATGGAAATAATCAGGGACAGGAGAAGTATCTAAGTAAGACATCCAACTGGTTACACACAAGTAAGTTTTCGGCACTGTAACCAAGAAGCTGAATATTTCAATTCTTTAAAGTCTATACGAATTATGATATATACCACCGTGTTACCAAACCATCTTCTAAAAATTAACATTTAATATTTTAAAGTACTATGAAGCAACAATAATGATTACACATGTGTGTTACAGGTTAGCATCCACATTAGTCAATGAAAACATAGCTCTTTCAACTATATAGTTCTGCCTTAAGGTATGAGGAAATGTTAATATTATTTTTGTGCCATCCGGAGAACCACTTAGACACACGTAAACATGCCACGCTAGTTACTGATAACGATCTCGGCAATTATTTAAATTTCTATAGTTCCTTAAGACAATTCTGGGGATAGATAAGCAAAATGAACTCTTTAAATATATTCTGTACACTTAGCTTAAGAAACCCAGAAAAGGTGGGGAGTCTATAAAGAGGATATCTTTATTTAAAAACAAGAGTAGTGTCATTTAAAAACAAAAACAATCAAACAAAAAAACCCCGAGAATTAGATTTGTGCTCTAAAACAGATTCTCTTACTAATCTTCAGCATATTTTATCCCTCTTTATTTCACCTAAAAAATGAATGTCTTTAAAAGTTTTTTTCCATTTCTAACATTCTATCAGTCCAGGAATATACAATAGTGGTTTTCAGACTCTGTACAAGAATTGCTTCATCTAGGCTCCATAAGCCCTGGGCCATACCCTAATAAACAATTCTTTCCATATTACTCTAAGTTAATGTTACTGCTTTATATGCAGCCAACTAAGAAAAAAGCCTGAGAATCAGAACCACTACCCCCAATCTAGTTGGTTACCAAATCTTATTGATTCTCACAAATATCTCTTAAATCTGCCTCCCTATCCTATCTGCAACTGTATTAATTGCAATAACTTCATCTTATCTGGATTACAGTACTAGTCTCCTATTAACTGGTTTCTTGGCCTGAAGTGTCTTATACTCTAATCCATACTTTATTGGGTGCACAGAAGGGGTTCTCAACCAGGGGTAATTTTGCCCCCAAAGGCTTCTTTGACAACATCTGGAGACATTTTTGTTGTCACAACTGGGGTGGGGCTGAGGGAGGAAGTGTTACTAGCATCCTGTGGGTAAAGGCTAGGGATGCTTTCAAACATCATACAATGCAGAGGACAGCCCCCTATGACAAAGAACTCTCATGCCCAAAAATGTCAATAGAGTTCAGGCTGGGAGACTCTGCTTCACAGTGATCTTCCTGAAAATAAAGCTGATCATAACTGTCAGCTTAAAAACTCAGTTGATTCCAATGACAGAATAAAAGCCAAACTCCTTGGACTTCACTGAAACAGTTTCTGAAAAAAGATAAAAAAGTAAAAGTAAACAACTAGGCTGTTCACTAAGATGGATTGCAATGCAGTAATTTCTTTTCTTTTTTCTTTTTTTTAAAGTAAGTTCTCAGCACTAATTCTGATCTAAGCCAGCCTCAAACCATAATTTTTCAAAATAAAAAGGTATCACCACAGAAGTTTTCTAAAATCACTTTCAGTACTAATTTTACTGACAGTTTACAATATGTCCTGAACTTACCTTTCCAGTCTTAACTTCCACTATTCCTTTCTATACACTTTACGTTAGCTCCTTCATAACTCTGTGTTGTACATTCTATTCCCTATTGCTTCGAATGCCCCTCTCTTATTTCTTCTCCGACTCACACGTTCATTTAACAAATGTCAGGAACTACATGGGAACTAGAGAAATGGTGATCAATTGGACAGACCTCAATGTTCCTGGAACTTACACATTAGCACAGGAGAAACTGAATAGGTACACCTGAGTAACAAAAAAAAACCAGAGAATGAAACAGGGACAGAACAGGCGGCTTAAAATAGTTGAGGGGTGGGAATTGGACTAAGAGGCAAAATTCTCTAAGGAAGTAATTTTTAAACTAATCTGATGGAGGGGAAAGAAAAAGAAGGAAAAAAAAAACACACACAACATTTTAGGCTCTATAATAATTTAAAACTCAGCTCAAATGTCATTTTGGGGGGAACATTCACTCTAACTGCAACACTCCCCAAATCAGTTCTTTTATATTCCCACAACATAAAACAGATGAAGAAATTAAGGCACAGAGAAATTAAGTGCCTTGCTCATAACTGCACTAAGAGAACTAAGCTACAAAACCAAAGAGCCTGATACCAAAATCTATGCTCTTAACCTTTCTGCCTGTCTGAACATAGCATGACACATACTGTAGCACAGCTTTTATCTTTGAGTCTCTTTCATTAGACTCATAAAATCTTGACGTATCACACAATATCTAGCAGCCCCTATAATCCACCTCCCCAGCCCTGCCAAAGCTTGCTAAACAAATGAATTAATATAACAGAGTTATATAATTGTTTCTTTTTAAATAGGATGTCAGGTGAACTTAATCCAACTAAATGCAATTGGAAGGTCACTCTCTAATTTTGAAGGCAGAGGGATAGAGCACAGAAACTATTATAGATCATTCATTCAACTGGTACTGACTACTGTACTTCATGTCAGGAACCATTCCAATATTTTAGAGCAAGTGAATGAGACGAAGTTCTTGTCCTCACAGATTATTCACATTTTGCTACCACAAAATCAGAATATAAACATTCTAATTTTTATAAATATATAAATTCATGAGTTTTGTTAAAGCTAACACTAATAATGATGTAAAAACTAAACAGATTATTTATATAGAAGCAAGTTTGAGGATCTGTATCTTTTGTAGTAACTGGTATCGGATATTCTTCAGAAAAAGAAAAAACTTGAAAGATATTTTATAGTATCAGTGAAATAGGCTACTATATGATTTTAATATGGATTTAAAAAAATACATGAATATAGTAACAATTCTATAAATATAGAAAAAGAGTTTCATACCAAACAATACAAAACCAGGTGATGAGAATAAGAGACTTTAAAGCCTCATGAACGAATTCCTTTAGCGCCTATCTCATTGTGTAGTCAGTCTATACCAACAGACTTTGCAGCTTTCCAGCTGGCTGTCTGCACCACTGGGAGTCTGCGGTCCTTTTCTACACTCAGGGGAGTTTCATCATCCAGTCCTAGACACTTGCCAAGCTACTTGGATTGCAGAAAAGCCAATAGTTATGTTGGAAAATGTACTTCCCAGCAGAGGCAACCGCCAAATGAACAACTGAGTATACTTGGGTGTGCTCTTTTCCACTTCAAAAGTACCAATTTCTTCTCTAGTGGCCTTATATTTTGCATTAAAGATATATTAATTGATTATAAAGCTTACATTTCTTGATCTGCATAAAGTCTTAATCCCAAAACAAAGGTGTTAGGAACCAGGGCAAATCGCTGACTGCAGGTCTGGGTAGGTAAATTACAAGATCAGTGTGAAACATCTGGGATAATAATAGCAAAGAAGTTAGTGTTCTTCACTGACTCAAGGGTCAAGAGGTTCTCACTGTTCAAAGATGAGACAATATAAATACTGACGAAGATAATAACTGTAATGGACTAGAACTGACTGAACACACTGGAGGTTGCTAGTTGGCCAATTCATTATTTTGAGAATTATTATGTAAATAGAATCAAGCCTTTATCTTTTTCCTATATGACCTATACCACTGGGTAATAGATGAGGGGGAATTTAGCTTTATAAAAATAATCCAATTTCTAAATAAAAATGGAAAGATAAATTAGATATGACCATTTTACAACCTTTAGAATTAACGAATTTAGGCCTTGAACATCTAATGGCTAACCTCATAAAGGCATCTAGACACTATATGCTTCCAGATTGAAGAACACACCACCATCCACAAACCTGAATCCAATAAAGCTTCTAGATACAACTACAAATTTACATGAAATATAGAGGACTCTAACGTAATTATAGCAGAGGTATACAATTAGCAAAACAGAGACTTGAAAACTACAGATCAAAAACCTGGTTTCTTTAACAAATACATTGTAAAGGAGAGAAAAAGAAGAGATAAAAAGATGAACTGGAAACTTTAAATTTAAGAAGATGTAAAGGATATACCAGCCAACTGCAATGTACAGACCTTATATGACCAATGATTCAAACAAATAAATTGTTTAAAAAGTAAAAATAATGGCATTTGTCATTTGAAATTTAAACAATGATCGGATATTTAAAGATATGAAAAAAGTCAATTTTTTAAAGTATAAAAATATTACTGTGGTTTTGACTTTTTAAATTCCTCATCTTTTAGAGACACATACTAAATTATTTAAAATGATGATATGTGGGACTTGTTTCACAATAATTCAGAAGGGTGAAAATGGGTAAGGGTATAAATTAAACAAGCCTGACCATGAGCTGACTGATTGTTGTTGAAGCTGAGTAATGAATTCATGGGGGTTCATCATACTAATTACTTCAGTTTCCCATTATTATGTGTTTTTTAAAAGGAAGTCAGAGCAATTTAGCACTATCCATGATAATGTCAAATGTCCATATTCTTTGATTTAGGACATTCATTTATAGAAATTATCCCACAAATGTGCTCATGCACATGTGCAAAGACATCTTCCAATATTCACTAGAATATTATTTGTAACAACAGAACATCTGATAAAACCTAATGATACTCTATCATCACCAACAAGCTTTAACTATGAAGTTTTCATTTATTATAGACAATTAAATTTTTTGTTTGCTTAATCTCTATCTTTCCTGAGTAATTTTTACCAGGTCTAATCCAAGGTAATAAGAAAGTAAAATTTCCTTCTCATGTGGAATTGTATTATAGTCAGATTTCACTTTCACCCTAGCATAATGAGGTCACCTATAGAATCTCTATTGTAGGGGGAGGGTGAAGTGGGTAAAGGGGATCAAATAAATGGTAGCTGAAGGAAACTGGACTTTGGGTGGTAAACACACAATAGAATAAACATGTCAAATGATACTGTACATCTGAAAACTATATAATTGTATTAACCAATGTTACCCCAATAAGCTTAATTAAAAATTAAAAAAAAAAAAATAGAATCTCTATTGAGAAAAATGCATATACTACCATCCCCCTGACACAAAGAACAAAACATGTTCAGTTTTGTTGTTCTACCCAACATAAAATCTTTCCTAGAGACCTAATAAAATGCACTATGATGGATAAGGGTTAGCTGCAGTCAATTTAATAAATGCAAAACAAACAGAAAGAGGTACTTAATATAAGCCTAATGTGGAAGCTTTCCAGCCCATCTGATAAAAGTGCTGATATCACAGTGAATAACCCGCTAATTCTATTGAGTTCATTCGCATTAGGTGTATATTTAAATTTAACACCAAAACTGCAGTTTCTATTAGGAAGTGTGAAGTCTGTTCTTTAGATTCTTTAGGTCACTATAAAAATGTGCAGAATTATGTCATTATAATTTAAGAAAAAAAAATCAAAGTCTGCTTTTCATATGAGAGTTTACAAAAGAGAGAACTCTAGGTCTCTCAAGTTTTTTTTTTTAAAGGATTTCAAATACCAGAATCGCGCTTTTCTGACTCGTGTAGGAAGGCATTACATAACACCACAGCCCCAGCGAGGCAAATGAGGAACTCTCCTTGTCTTCCCTACAGAAACCACTAGGGATTTCCCTCCACTCCTGTTCCTGGCACTGCTCTCCACTTCACCAAAGCAGCCCCTGCAGCAGCCTGGGACACAGACCAGCCACCGCAGGCCTTTGAAGTGGTGGGAAGAGAGGGAGATGCCACGTGGGAGAAGAGAGGACATGGCATGCTTACCCATCACCATGGGAACCATACAGCTCTTTCTCCAAACTCCTTCCTTACCTCAGGAGAGAGAAAAGCAACAGTAAAGTGGCAAAGAAGAAACTTCATTGCCACTTCTTTCTCATCCCAAATGGCTTAACCTATTGCACATACATCATCCCTACCTTAAATATTCTTCTCACTGTCACATGCAAGGAAAGAGAAAATGGGGGTGGGGAAGGGGGGGTTAGAAAGTAAACCATGACCTGTCCTCTGCTTAACAATTTCCATTCTTTCTATATGGGACCTAAACTTCCATTCCTTTTCTACCCCTCCCAGACACCATCTGCAACACAGTCCAGTTCTCAATGCTCATCTGGCTTGCTGGCTCTAAAGGACCCATCTCAGTCTTCGTCTCAGCTAAGGAATAAAGGAAGCAGGGGTCCCAAACTCAAAAGCCTTGGACCTAAAGAGATAGCACAAATGAGTGAAGAGATTACCAGCTGCAACACAAATGCGATCAACAAAATAAAAAGAACATCCCTGCCTAAAAAAGTCTATCAATTAACTTTTTTTCAAGAGAAGCTAGAAATCCAGATTTTTTATATGCAATCTCTTCATTTTTAGTCAAACACATCAAAAAATTTTATAAGACTTCTACAGACCAAATAAAAGATGCCTCAGTTGGAAAAGCTGAATAGAGTCCAAAAAACCCATTTGTGAACTTTAATTTATAATTCCTAGAGACTTCAGAGATGTCACAGCTTCCCTAACCACTATTCTCTGCCTTCTCTCCTGAACCCCCGACTCTCAGCACCACTCCCACCTCCCTCTCTCCCACCCCCCACCCCCATCCCCGGTAAGCTACCACAGGAGACCCAGCTCCATCTGGGAGGCAGGAAGAGAGGAAGTTTCTGTTTTACTTGCCAACTTTAGTTGGGTTAGGTTAAAGTTGTGCTTCTGACATTCCAAAAGATGGAGCTGAAAGCACCTCTTCTCTCAGAAATATTGTTGCACACAGTAGCTAGGTTTCATTCTTCTTCAGGTATAAGTTTAAAGGACTTTCGTCGGCTAATTTGGGGAAATTACCTATTGAATATAACGATATTTCTATGGGAAAACTGCATTTAGAGTCCAAAAATAAATACATGTATAAATAAACTTTTGAAACACTACCATTTGCAAAATGAAGGTTTTCTAAATTCTGTAATACTGTTGAATTTTAAGACTTGCTCAGTGTTGGCAGGGTACTGAACAGCATAAATACATTTAAAGGAAATTACAAAGGCATGTTAACAAATATATTCAAAATTAAGTTTTACAGATCAGTCTATATATATAATATACTGGTATACATTTTGCCTCATGACAGAAAAGGGTCCTATACCGACAGAAACCAAAGCTAAAATTTTCAAGCTTTTCTATAACCCACGACTAGCCCTCTACCTCCTCCCCAGTTTTCCCATATGATGCCATGAGAACTATAAGATCGTTGAGAGATTCCAAAAAAAGTAAAAATGTATTTTTTAAAGAAATATGGAACAATAATAAAAAGGCACATTGGCGGGCACAAAAAGGTGTTAAGATTTGCTTCTACATAGGTTACTGTGCCACATCACTAAGAAAAACCAAACAAATATATTCAGATTACTTTCTGGACAGGAATCTACTTGATTGTTGGAATCCAGACAGAATCTATTTTTTTAAAGGAAGGAAAGGCAGACAGAAGCATCGCTCTCAAACTATATCAAGAGGCTTGAAACACCCTGTGCTTTATAATTTTTTAAAATGGAGAAAAATTTTCATGTCTAGTAAAATTTTAATAAGTATAATCATAATAAAGCACCAAAACCCAAAGCAAAACCAATAGAACACAAAATTGGCAAGGGCCAAGAAATGTCAAAATTCACTTATCAAAGTTAAGTTTCCAGCTGATGTCCTTCTGCAATATATTTTGTGACTCTATTATAATAAATGCATAGAGAGAGATATAAGCACCCAAAGTCTGGGGTCTCAATACCAAAATATTTTGATGTGTTGCTTTTGTTTCAAGTCTATTAATCACAGCTCCCTAAGCCCCTCAAATAAATAAACAGTTACTCTTTTATTTATATCATAAAAACATGATTTATATAAGCAAAACCCATTCGCTGAAATTTTAATGCCTGACTAATGACTTTTGGAAAAACTATTCTTTAAAAATGATTTGCTTATGTATCGTTTTTCACTCCCTGTTCCTCCAAAACTTGCGGGCTGAATTTGTTCATCAGCACTGAATGTTTACTCTTTATTTGGATTATAATCTTCTCTTTCTAAGTAACAGAACAGAATAAGCAGAAGACAATGTAAAATGGAATAGGTAATAAACATATCCAAACTGAATTACCTTTCATAAACGTAAGCCCATTTAGTATGAAATAATTTAAAAGACAGAACATGTTAGTTTTCTATAAATAGCATCAAGTCTTTGTGACTGACCAACTGTAAAACTTTCAGGGGGAAGAAGAGGAGAAAGAAGTGGCTGATTTCTGTATTTTATGAGAGTATAAAAGAACAGATTTTATGGTTTCAACTGAAGTTGGCATTTTTCATATAACATTCTTAGAAAAAGCACTGCAAGGAATGAGCAAAATGTTAATATATCTTTAAATGACATAATGAGGGATGATTTTTCCTCTTTCTACTTTTCTGTTATTTCCAAGTTTTATATAATAGAGGTACAGTATTTTTAAAATACTAAAATATTAATTTAAAATAGTCTATGTTGAGTAATATAAATTCTATGTGCTACAAGAAAAGCAAGTCCTCAGGTCTATATATTATTATGAAGTTTATAAATTTGTTCTTGAGCAAAATAATAATTTCACCTGTTCCCTTCCGAGCAAGTTCCATACTCCATTGGGGTTTTGTGGCAGGTGCGCCATCACAGCCTGGTGAGTGCTGGGGTATTAAAGCAGACCGGGAGCTAGCTGGCCGATGCTTAGAGAGCCCTACAATGCCAGAGAAGAAGGAGAACAGGGATTTATTTCTTTGTTTCTCAAAAGAAAAAAAGAAAAAAAAACATGAAAGGTTTTATAAGTCAACCTTAAAAACAGAAGCAGTTCAACAGTAAAATTCTAATAATAAAAAGAATACTGTTTTTACTACTGACGATCCCATCTGATTAAATCCTTTGTCATGGTTTCTATATGCTTAAGTTGAGAACAACACACATCCAAGAAAGACACTAAGTTTGACTAGCCTGCTGACCATACAAACTGTTCTATATTTTGGGGCAGAAACCATGTCATAATTTTTTTATTATTTACATGGAACTTCACAGAAACCATGTCATATTTTTTTATTACTTACATGGAACTTCGCATAAAGTAAAGTTTGCCAGCTCTCTCCCGAATTCGCTAATAAAGTCCATTATAATATTATTCAACGAATACATAAAAATAACTTAAGAGTTACAGAAGATATTTAAAATAGAAAATGTCTTAATGGTATAATGAGTAAAAAAGGTCGTATTGAGTATTATACCATTTTCATAAAATTCAAAACCGAGTGCAAGTAAACATATAGATCATATGTCTATGTGGCACGCTATAAAGAAAAGCAGCAGAATGATTTTTAAAAAAGGAGAACAGAAAGTCCAAGACAGTAATTACTTGTAGTGCTAAGGCAGGTAAACAGAATCAAGGAAGAAGTCTGGAGGGAACAGGTGTAAAACAGGTGTGGCATGGAGTAAAATATACATGTTAAGGTAGGTGACTGGTTAACAGATATGTTTATTACTATATCTCACAACTTACATGCAAGCTACAGCGAAGCTTTACTCCTGATAATTAGAAAATGTTGATGATATAAATGGTGTAATTTCTTCCAAAAGTATTATAGCAGTATGTATCTAGAGCTAAGAAAATTTTCTGAAGAAAAATATCTCATAATATACTAAAGTTAATCATTTCGCCAACAATGTTTTTGGGAATTTATCCTAAGAACATAATTGGATTTTTTTTTTTAGAAAAAAAAAGGGTATGAAAGCTTTTGTATGAAGATGTGCAGTATAGAATTACCTACAATAAATAAAAATAAGAAATAATGTAAATGCCTACCAACAGAAATAATAAGGTAAATTATAGTATATAAACTCAATACTGTCTCAGGTAATATTTTCAAAGGAAAGACTATGATGTTTGAGAGATACATGTAAAAATCTAAGATACGATATTATGAGAAATAGGCAGGCAAAAAGAAGTAGTTGCATTATGGGTGGCATTAACTTCAGTTAAAACTTTTAAATATAATTATGGTTATATTATTAAAAATAAAGCAGATCCAGTATTTTATCTTGATTTCCGAGGTTAAGCCTACTGCAAGAGAGAGAGAAATTAAAGCTTTTGGAAGAAATGTGATGAATGGATTTTAAAAAAATCTAGAAGTATACTGAATATTAAAGAAAAATAAAATAAAATTTAGTATCTAAAGAAAACACTTTTTAAAAATTTATTTCTTTGCTGATATGTTATAATCTGATAGAATCTAGTATTTCATTTTATACCAGTTATTTTTAAACTTTATAGTTGTTAACCTGAAAATAAAGCCATACACCTTAGAAGAGTGGTATCATGTGAACTCTCAATCACCCCAATGATTGCAGTAACACTAATCTTACCTGGTGTCGATGGCCTTTCAAGCATGTTCAAATGATGGGAAATGAAGGCCTGGCTATCGTGAACAGTATCCATATCAATCTCCTCCTCATCTTGAGAACTTGAAAACTAAAACACACACACACACACACACAGAACAAAGAAGAAAAAGGGCCACTACATCACTTTACGTTTGGATCTTAGCTCTTAGGAAAGGTAGCCGAGAGGCCAAAGGATATATCCCCAAATAATCTTAAAAGGAAAAGTCTCTTTTTCTCAAAAAGTATTAAGAGAGAGAAAAGATTATGTAGCCCAGCCTCCAAAGAAGCTGATTAGAAATTACTGGAAATGTAACAGCAACTAAAATCTAACCCTATGTTGTGGGAAGATCGTGCACACATAGTTCCTCCCCCAAACAGAGAAGAAGTATGTGCTAATACAAGTTAAACAATCAGTTAGAATGTCTTAGAGATGGGCATTTGGGTTCTTTTATGATTCATTCAGTCTGTCCCATCTGTTCCTAAGGGAAAACCACTGCAAGTATTTACAGAGATTCACAAGAAGGTGAATATCCTACACTGTTAATACAGGTTTAACCTGTATTTCTTACTCTGATTTTGAGTTTGACTTTACTGCTATCCTCATTCTTCTCCAGTATTTGACCAGGTTCTAGTGGGGACCCCAGTGGTGTATCAGCCTTCCTCTTCACTCCCTGCTGATGAGCTGATATATTACATGATGCTTCCTTGGCAAGGTGATCATCTTCCTGCGGCAATATTCAAGATCAAAATTAGATTTCTGAAGACAAGTAGCTCATATTATAGCTGAAAACTAATAGCTATAGCAATCATGCAGATAAGAGTATGCCCAGTGCCTAAAAGTTATCAGCAATGGGCTTAAAATAAATTTCTTTTCTAATTCTTTTTTTGGGGGGGGTGGGTAAAAAGGGAGTTAAGTGAACTTTCAGAGCTTTCCCAAAAGAATTTTATCTTCTGGTATCATTTTCTCCTCTAATCCTGAAGATTCCAAGTATAAATGTGGATAAATGAACAACTATGGACAAAATTATAAACATATTCATTTCCACAGATTTATAAATATTTAGATCTGAAAGAGCTCTTTAATGAGACTTTTCTTTTTACTATGGGAAGATTTCTTACTTCTTCATAACATAAACTCTACGATACATTTAAAATTTATAACAAGTAAGTACAATTACACTTCAGAAAATCTAGGTAAGTAGTTAAAATGACTACTTCTAACTAGCATAGAGAGCACCTGAATTTTATAGTGTCAAAACACCAGTAGGGAACTGCCAGGCAAGTTATCTGGTCTAAATATTGGTGAAAAATGAAGTTTGAAGTATTGGAGACATTCTGTCATCAATTAAAAAATCATTTCTGGAAAACTTTAATTAAATTACAATTAAATAATATGTATCCTAAAGGTCTTTCTATAAAAGTCTGGTAATTTTATAATGTATAGCTAGAAATAAAACTTTTCTAAAGGCAAACTCATACACACATATATAAATTTAAAAATGTAATATATAATCTCTTCCCAAATCAGATTACTCATTTATCTATTTAGTGTTATTTATTTATTTAATTCAACAAGTATTTGCCAGGCACTTATATCTTTAGAACTATGCTAGGTATTATACAGAGCAGCAAAAATTAAATAAATAAATAAATAAATGAAAATAAAATAAAAGTCAGGGCCCCTTGTGTTCAGTTTGCCATTACCATATACCAACCAGATAGGTTAAGATGTAACAGGTTAAATATTCATTTTATTTTTCCCCTACTCAAAGAAGAAATTCTATGCTCAAGCACACAAAAATCATATGTCATCACAAAAGGAGTAAATGGACTGGCGGCACTGTGTAGCTGTCAGCAGCACTTTATAAATTATGAGTGCTAAACTAATGTCAGCCAACAGTTTTTTAAATGGTACAAGAAACTTAGTGGCTTTAAAATCTGCCACTTTAAAAGAAGTAATTCTCTTCTCTAGATAGCTCTATATAATAAAACTACATCTTCTTACAGGGTTCTGAAATCCAACTAGCTGTGCGTGACTACTTGGATTAATCGCAGTTTCTTGGTTGCCTGTGATGGCCTCTGGAATTATGGTTGGATTCAAGACAGCTTTTTTCTCTTTCAGATTAAGAACCAACCCAAGCTCTGGCAAGGGTAAGCACGAAGGTCTACTGAGGCCAAAAAGTGTGAAGTACAAGTCCACAGCACCACACCGTAACCTCCAGTCATGTGAAGTACCTAAGAAGTAAATAATAAAAAAAAAAGTCAATGTGTACATTTATCCATACCTTTTTAACTATTCTAGAACCTCTACAAAAGAAATGAAAGGATTATGATGCCTAAAAGGAGTCATCTATTAACCTAGGCCCCACTGGCAAGTCCTCTCCCATAAAGATATATTTTATCTTAACAAAGATACTTATAAATTGTTATAGGAACGATAAATGTTAGTGAATGAACTAATGAATTTTTTAATTGGAGAAATTTTTATTATCACGCCATCCTTCTTTACAAAATGAATAAAAAAAAAAATGACATTTTTTTTCCTGCCTTTAAATCTTCCTTTTAATTCCTCCTCCTTGGTAACTAACTATTCCACACTTGTTCATTGTCTGTTCATCTTGTCTGATTTTCTTCTTTAATAGCCTGTTAGGAAGACAGCATTCCATGAGCCTTCATGGACCCTACCACTTGAAACAAATTCTCCTCTCAAATTTATTACTTTCAGGTTTTAAATAAATTACAAGAAACCCTACAACTACTTGAAACAACATAATTCTAAACTTGGATTTACAGGAGAAAAATACTGTCCTAAACACCTACATATTTTCTACTAAGTATTTATTTAAACACACACACACACAAATAAGCAAACCCCAGAGATGACAACAGGTAGTAAAACATCTATCAGTCAGAAGAAGATTGCCTGTGTAGAAATTCATTTTAAAGCAGTTGAGATTACAGGCAAGTTCTTTCAAATCTTTTGATGAGTCTTTGATTTTTCATCTCCAAAATAAGAGTATTGGTCTCAGATTATACCTTTCCCAAAGCAATGACAGACCAGACCACACAGATACCAGAGTTCTTTCTCATTTTCCTTTTTATCGCCAGTAGAGCACTCCAGGTAGATACTGCCATCAAAAAGAACTGATTAACAAGACAGAATCTGTCATTTTTGTTAGATCATTTTTATGGTTTCTTGGCTGAATTTAAAATGATCTAGAGAATTTAAAACGAATGAGAAAAAGCAATATGAAATTCTTCTGGATAAGAAAATAAACCCTATAAATATTTAATTTTGACCAAGAACTGTGGTTTCCAGAGAGTATCATAACATGTAAAAAGGAGAAACAAAAGAGAAAGAAGTCGCTACAGCAAATACTGGAAAGCATAAATATAAAGCTTTGTGGTTTTCAATAACAAATATTAGAATAGGAAGGTAAATTATAATCAAATAGTGATCCTGAAGAGACTTACTCTAATAGATAAATATTATATTAATTATATGCAAAGGAAATTCATGTGGAAGGAATTATAATTCTACAGAGTTCATACTAAGTACTACACTGTGCTATCTTGCCGAGAAAGAGCCATCATCAATGCTATTTGAGACATCTTCAATTCTGCTACTGTGTGATGAGGTAATAGATACATGGCACTGCTCGAAGCAAGAGAAAGAGGCAGGAGCTCCTGAGGAGGATAAAGTTTTATGTCTTAAAAACTACAGGGAAACTAGAAATGGGAAGAACATTACAGAAAGAAAAATAAGGATTTTTTTACACTGGAATTCCATTCCTTTCTCTAGAATATGCTTATCTGTACACTGTAATGGTCTGGAATTGCTTAATTTTTTGTAGGCATTCATTATTCTCCTCCTCAAAGCATTTCATATATGTAAAGGTAAAAACAAGTATCAGATTCCTGGGCCTTTTATTACAAAGGTTGGAGGGGCTCAGCCCTCTGAAGGAAGGAAAGGAATCCCGCCAGAGCAGCCAGCCCTGTATCCGTGTATTTGTGGCTATAGCAAGAAAAGGAATGAATCTTAAGCATTTTATCAGTTAGGAAAACAAGAGTGGTTTAGGGTACATTTATACTGGAAGAAAAGTAAACCTTGAAGATCCATATCATCTAATTAGGTCTGCTGCCATCCTGAACCTTTCTTTACACATTGCAGATCAGGAGTCCCCCACCCGTGGGCCAAGGACTAGTACCATTACTGTCAGGAACAGGGCTGCACAGCAGGAGGTGAGCAGGGGGCCTGTGAGTGAAGCTTCATCTGTATTTGCAGCCACTCCCCAGCGCTAGCATCACCGCCTCAGCTCCACCTCAAATCATCAGGCTTTAGATTCTTGTAGGAGCACCTGTCCCTGATGCCACAAAGGTTGGGGACCTCTATTGTAGATGACACTGAAACCAGTGTCATCTACAATAGAGGTCCCCGGCCGCCATGGACGGAGGGGCCAAAGCATCCCTGGGTACGCGGTCTGTGGGTGGCCCTGAACCCTGCAAGAGGATACGGAGACGAATGAGACGTAGTTTGTACCTCTAGGAGCTCAAAGTTGTTCTATTTTGTTTTTTAAAAGTCAGACTGAAGATGATTAGGCACCACAGTGAAGGCTGCTAAACACAAAATCCCTGGACAGTGGTTTTTGTTACTTTTTATTTCTACGTGAGCTTTTTGGCTTTGGTTTATCTTTAGTTTACATGGAGGAATGAACATTATTGTTTTGTTCCTGTGGAAAGTTCCCGATAGCAATTTTTTCTTCAAATAATTCACTTAGAAATATTAAATTTAGGGCTGATAAGCGAGAGCTAAAAAATTAATAAGCAGTGATTCTGTTAAAATCACAAGTGTTTAAAAAATCAGAACTCCACCTGTATTTCAAAATCATGGCATTAAATCTTAAAATGGTTGGCAGATAGTGAAACTAAGTTGAGTGGTATAAGTGGGAAAAATCATTTTTTTTTTTACGGATTGGCTCTGTGATCTTGAGCAAGTCAGATGCCTGGGTCCTAGAACAAGGACAATTAACTCAGATGGTCGTTAAGGTCCCCCCAGGCCTGAAAATGCTACGATTCTAAATCAGTCCATTCCATTGAGAGAGGCCCTGGAACATCTGCTGATTTCTGCTCTGGTTACAGCATTTTGAAGACCTTTCTTTCATCTTCTAGCTACCCCTCCCACCCCAATCACTTAAATGGCAAGGAACACTCAGATATTTGAAAATATCCCCTTGGGTCAAAATGCTGTCCATTCTGTCCTCATTAGCAGTTCTCCTTAGGGACCAACCCTGCTTACCTGAATCAGAAGAACAGCACTCAAGAAGAAAACAGGAAACTCTGTTAGGGATGTTCTCTAATCAAATCAGAAAGTATCTAAAGACAAACCTCCAAAAGAGCAAATCTGATCCTAAAAAAGATCATCACTTCCTTTTCTGAAGTAATTGCTATTAAAGCTGATCAAGCCAAAAAGCTGCTAAGAAAGCTCACTTTGAAAGCCACTTTTTTCAGTACATTTTTCATTAAACCCAGCTGACAACAGAAGCTTGGAAACGTGGAGTGTTGGGTGAAATAGGACTACCATAGGGTGATTCTGTCCTGTTCTTTCTGTCCATCTTACACTAATTAAAAACAGCAAACATCACTTATATTAATGTGTGTGTGTGTGTGTGTGTGTGTGTGTATACATATATATATATATATATAATTTCCTAAGAACAGGTGAGAAAAGTCATTTTTCAACACTTTGTAACCTTCTGAAATAAAAACAACAATAATAATAATACTTCGCAGGTTCATGCTTAAAGCTCTATAAACATGTGAAACACTTTCACATAAATTAATATTTTTGTTTCCTTGGCCACCCTGTGGAGCAAAGTGAGTAAACATATTCTTAGCAAATGTTATCATATCCACTACCATGTAGATAGCTGTAATAAGTATCCTAGCCAAAAAAGAAAAAAAAGAAAAAGATAGGCTAAAAATTAACCACAGTTTTTTAAGTATTGAAAACCTGTTGTAAAATGAAAATCTTCTAGTCATAAAACATCTTTAAAAAGCCACTGCGGTCTCACCAGAGTTCATAAGCTTCCAAAGCTGATCTACCAGGGCTTCGTTGCATAAGGGAGACTCCATGTTCTTAGTAAATGGTGGATTTCTAGTCAACATGTTTAGAATCTTATGTCTGAAAGATAAGGAAAAATTTAATTTTTGCTGACCATTAAATGAAAACATTTGAAAATTACCTATAGTGACTCCTTCCTATTTTATCATCTCTCTTGGATCTAGCTTTGTGTTTAAGTTTAGTTTCACTTCAAAAGGCATTATTATGTTACATCCTAAATATTTACTACGGTTTTTGCACTAAAAAAATTCTGGCAGGTTTATTCTTCCTAAAATCGCCTTACTGTAGAATGAAGTCTTCTAAAATCTGACTCTATGTATTACTAACCAACTTTTCCTATCCCACTTCTAAAATGCACATTTTACTCTCCTTAGAAAAGTTTACAAAAAAGACTAGTCGATAAATATAAAAATCTTAAAATGAGACCAAAAAAAAATCACATATAGGCCAAGAAGTCTACATTTGAGATAATAAAACGAATATAAAACTTCATTATTATAGCATCTTTGTAAAGCATGGAAATGTGCAGAAGCATTTTAAATATGGAGATTGAAAAAGGTTTCCTCAAAATAAGCTGAGCGTTAGGAGAGTCAATTAACAAAAAAGCATCCTCATAAAGGATGACAGTTATACTCCGTATCAGAAATTTTCATCTCATGTGAGAGGCTATCTGCACACATTACGGAGTCTTCTGGAAAAAAGGGCAAAGCGACCAAAACAAAATTTGAAAAGGAAAAAAAAAGTCCAATACTATGACTAGGAGATACCATAAAAAGACAGAGAAAGAACAGAAGCAAGGAAGCTACAGGAGTGATCTAGTATTTAGTGAAGGGATAAAAGCCAGGCCTCGAACTAGGTCTGAAAAATTCAAGACCTCAGAGTAACGGAATGCTTGGATATAATGGAGGAAGGAAGAAACTTAAATTGTAAGTTTTATTGAGGCTAGCAAAACTTTAAAGAAGGTGAACCTAAGAAATTTGCATATTTAATTGTTGGTGGAAAAACATCAAATGGGATCAGTATTCGAGAGAGATGAGAGAAAAGTAGAACTGCTAGGTTGTAGGTTAGGTTACCCAATCCCTTTTGGCTTCAATTTTATGTCTGTAAAACTGAAAGATATAGACTCTCACTGTTAACATGTTGTTGAGCTTTGAAATTTGAAGACCATATGAAAGATTATTTAAAGGCTATGAAAAGTGAAATGTCATTATAGAGTCAATTTACAGATAATATAAAAAAGGATACATGTTTCAATGGATATTTCATATCAATATTTTCATCTTTATGGATAAACACAATTCCTGTCCTTAAGGACCTCAAAATCTATTTGTAAAAATATATCAGTATTACAAGTAAATAATATCTTTTAAAATATGAATGAGTCTGTTGTTTAGAGCACGCTAATCTTCACTTTTAATCTACATGAAGAAGAAAACTTAAGTTTCTATCTGGCTGCTTTCCCAATTATCCCAAATACCAGAGTGGTAGGGCCCAACTAATAAAACTTTATGGTATTTACTCAGATCATTATGAACTCTTCATAGCCATGCCAATGAAGTGTAGAGGGTACTCTAGGAATATCTTTAAAATTATCACTAAAAGAGCAATAATGATTGGTACCTGTATTACTTTATACGATTAAACATTTCTCTAAAAGTTTTTTCTCTAAAGTTTAGGTAACAGAAGACTTTTACAAGGAAATATTTACAAATAACTAAACACTCAAAGCCATACTCAGAGATAAAGTTTCAGGGGAAACAATGAGAATCTTGTGTTTAATTTTTCAGAGATAAAACATCAAAATTCACAATTAGCATGTGCTTCAGACATCTGAAACAAACCTGAGGCAAATCCTGAGAAAGTCAGTTTTTGTCATATTCATAGCAGTAAAAACATATTATATCCCTAGACAACTGAGAATTTTCTTGGTGGGTTAGTCCAATACCATTGCCAATAACTATCTATAAAAAATGGAGTCAAATCAAAACCCCCCCAAAATGCTCAAAATCTCTCAGGAGAAAAAGCACGTAAGTTATGCCCCTTAAAGTACTGACACAATGTAATCATATGCATGCTTGCTTCCAAAACAAGAAGATAAAATAATCCTACCCAATCTAGCACAGATATGACCAATACATATAATGCTATATGTCAATTATACATCAATAAAAAATTAAAGACAGATGTCTCAAGACACCAAAAGATACACACATAAAATAACTGCTGTGTGGTAATACTTCACAGCCATTAAAGATTTTTTAAGACATGTTGAATTTTTTTAACTATGAGTAAAACTATGCACTAGATGATTTTAAGTAAAGCCTAAGAGGTTCCCCACTGGTGATATAAATGAGCCAAATCAATTAAGAAAACATCAAAAATAATCACAAAAATATATCCTTAAATAAATTTCTAATTCAGATTGTAAATAACAGTGCTCTCGAAATTTGAATGTTACTAATAGTTCTACAACAATATTTCAAAAGCAATCATTTAGATTGTATAGTATATAACTCCAATAGAAAAACTTCAAATATTACATGACATCATATAATCTGCTACAGATGGTCTTCAAATTGTTTTACAAAACCATAATTTAAAAGAAAAATTTGAGTGTTTACTATGTATAAAAAAAGACAGACAAAAATGGTCAAAAATTTAATCCTATTTGAGTACACCATAAACACCCTACTTTGCAAAAGAAACAGCAGAAATGAAGACTAGAAGGGGGTACAAAAATGAAAATAATTACTATTGCAGGACTGGGATTTGCTTTTATTTTTTATTTTCTAAATTTTTTAAATGTTATATTATTTAATGTATATTTATTATATGTTT